CAAGCCCTGTGGTGCCCCACTGGACACCTCCCTCCATTCAGATGAAATGCCATTGACAACTACTCTCTGAGTGCAGTTCACCAACCAGTTCCCTACCCACCTAACTATCCTACAGTCCAGTCCACAGTCCTTTAGTTTAGTTCAGAACATCATGGGGAACCCTGTCAAAAGGTTTACTGAAATCCAGGTAAACAACATCAACAAGGATAACAGCCTCTTTGTTATCACAGCTATACATGCAAAATTGGATCAGAGGTATTTTTATAACTATTTTATAATTATAATAAAAATAAGTTTTTTAACGTTTGTTGCCTCTGTCCTCCCCCCCCGTACTTTTGTCTCAACTAATTGGTTTATATTTTATTTGTTAGAGATTTATGATTTAAATATCCTTTTCTTCTATGATTGGCTGATATAAACAGTGCTGTTTTCTCAGCTGTAATGAGTTTGCTTAGATGCTATAGTACTTTTGTCTCAACTAATTGGTTTATATTTTATTTGTTAGAGATTTATGATTTAAATATCCTTTTCTTCTATGATTGGCTGATATAAACAGTGCTGTTTTCTCAGCTGTAATGAGTTTGCTTAGATGCTATATCATGCATGTAGATGTATGAAAGTAGAGAGAGCATCAGTGCCTATTACCCACCAGACCACTATCCGTGGGGGAGCACCTAATGCCTGGAACCAGTCACCTATGAGTCAAGGAGAAATTTGGATTAGGCGTGCTATGCAGAGGGTAGTAGGTGTAGAAATGCTGAGGTCGCCGCACCTACTGCTTCTCTGCATATCACACCTAATCCAATCAAGCCTGCTATTGTCATTCACCTGCTGTTGTCATTCAGCATCTGGAATCACTTCCCTCTCCAAGATATAAAGACAGATGGACTCACATTCTAGCTGTATGTTAAGAAATGAGCAGTGGCTCATGAAAGCTCATATCTTGCCACAGATTTTGTTGTCTTTAAGGTGCTACTGGACTCTTGCTCTTTTCTACTGACACAGGCCAAAACATTACAATGGGCACTGCACTAGTTATGCCCATTTTGGCACAGCATCTTGTAGGGTAAGAGGGTAAGATGTTTACATTAAAGTGCAGATTTGCCTTTTAAAAAGATGCATCTTTTAAATTGTGGTGTGCCAGCCCGTAATGCTGATTTAACTGGTTGCAGAGTTTGGTGGGACTTGTAGAGGTCAGTGGGACTTGCATTTGGCTGCATCATAGCCTGCTGCATCATGAAAGACAAAAATACTATCTAGTGTCTGATACCATTGGAAGCGGAGGACTGTGAAATGTTCCTGCAGGTGGGGGCGGGAAGGGTAGTAGAGCCAGCAAGGATCAGTTCCTGTAGCCTTCCTTTAGTATGATCTGCAGCTGTCTGTCTGTCTTCCCAGAATGCTACTCTTTGTTCCTTCCTCCCAGTTAATTTCCTTCTTTAAAAATCAGCAAGCCTCATGTGAACTTAAT